TTCCGTGTACAACTGTTGGCGCAAGCTAGATTAAAGTGATTATTACGTTTTGAATATGGATATTTTTCTTACAAAAACGCATCGATTCGCTACAGGAGGCCTTTGTTCACCCTTTTTATTTCACTTATTTTGGACTGATGCACTGCAACACCCGCTGACTGCCATTAAACAGCTTGAAAGATCAAAGATAATTTTTAATATAACTACGACTGGATTCGTCTGAAAGAAGAAAGTCATATACACCTAGGATGCCTTGAGGGTGAGTAATTTATGGGCTAAATTTCATTTTTGGGTGAACTAACCCTTTAACCCATCCAAGTGCACATACACAGAGGTGAGTAGAGAATAAACACGCACACACACCCAGAGCAGTGGTCAGCCAATGCTGCGGCACCCGGGGAGCAGTTGGGGGTTCGGTGCCTTGCTCAAGGGTCTCACCTCATTCGTGGTATTGAGGGTGGAGAGAGCGCTGGACCTTCTGGTTACAAGTCAGACTCTCTATCCATTAGGCCATGCCTGCACTCATTGTGTATGTCTTTTGAATAACTATTGAATAGTTTATAGGTTTATATTCATGTTGGGTATGTATGAGATTGAAAATTCATGCTTTAAACGTTTCTATCAAGCAATTCTTTGTAAAATGTATTATATTCTTGTTATAGAAAACATGTTCAAATTATATTCTGCAAGAGCGGGAAAATTTGGAAAATTCAACTGGACTTCCAGTCAAACAACAACCTTGCAAAACCCCTTTCTGCAACAAAGACAACAAGGGAACCCCTTAAACAAGTAACGCAAGTACCTCCAGATTCTAGCTGAACTGGTGCATTTAATATAAAGCTCAATAGCCTCATTGAGAAACTCAATGTGAGGGTTAATTAAATGATTGATGGTTGTTCAGGTCTAAGCAATTGCACATATTGCTATAAACTTGGGATTTCACATTTTCACGCTTTCAAACTCATTCTTTCCTCACTTTCTCTCTTTCTGCAACTTGTGTGAATGTGGGTGTTCATGTGTTAGATTAGTTTATATGTCTTAGATTTATCCAATAAAGCCTTATTTATATTGAAAAGAGAAGTATCTTGTGTTTTGTGCTTATAAGTAAATGTCTTAAACTGCCGATCTTGTTACTGTGCTAATAAATAATGTTTTCACTATACTTTGGATATTAATATCCATTGCAGAATTAATGTTAAACGGCTCGTTCAAGGAATCGCTGGCTGACTCAGTGATCAGCCGTAAAACAGTGATTCTGTTCAAATTCCCTATAAAATCATAAATTATTCGCTTTGAGCTAAATTTGTCAGGGTTGGGGATGAATGGATGAGGCAAAGACTCAATGGTGCAGGATAGTGATGTGACGTTCGACACCGAGGCTTCGAAGCTTGTATCAAAAAAACGAAACATCACCGGGAAGCACTGTACCGGAGCTTGATTCGTTTTGCCAAAACCAAGTGATCGGTGACATCCAAAGCTTCGTTTTCGCACACAACCACGTGACTGCTTCTATTCTGATTCAAATAACACGAACCACTTGCGCAGTTTCAGGTGTCACTTCTTTGAAAAGAATAAATCATAATACGAATAAATATTTGCATGTGTAGTTTTCTGCATGATCATTTTGTATTAATTCCTGGTTCACAGACACTTTAACTAACCAATCTTCTATGATAATCTTCCGTTATTTTGATCATACAGCCTTGCCTGTTTTTTTCCACAAATTTGTTCACAGACTCATTTATTCATATTGTGTAATACAATGACTGACATGAAGACTTATGTATATAGACTTCATATTTTCTTTATACAGGTTTTCGT